CACATGCACACATGCACACACCTATACACTACTCCCAGACATGCACACACAGCAGGTCTTCGTAATCAAATAGTCAAATAGTAGCTGTGAAAACCCCAAGTCCATACAGTGTCGAAGACAAGACGAGGCTTGGTGTCTCCACTAGGGATTTCTGACCAGGGAGAGGGAATGTTCACGCCGTCAGACCAACCAGAGAAAGATGCCCTATTCGCGCCTATTGGGGCTGGGCCCGTGAGGACCGATTCTCCCCATAATTGAAGGGTCACGTGCAACCATAAGCAAATGAAGGGTTGAGAGCGTGGGCTTGGTAGTCAGGCTGTCCCAGACCCACCTTCTGACCTCCACTTACCAGCTGTGTGAAGCTGGGCAAGTTACAAAGTTCCAGTGTCACATTTGTAAAATCGTGATTATAAGGGAGCCGACCTCACTGGGAGCTTGGAAGGATTAAATGCACGTTAGATACCTCGCAGTCCTTACGCTGAGAAATCTCTCGAAAATACCTATTGATGCTGCTGCTGAGGACAATGAGGCTCATGCCACTTCTGCTCTTTAGGTCCTCTTCACTTCTTCTAACCCCGATGCCCACTACAGAAAAGTTATTCCATAAATATTTGCAGAAAAAAGAAAGGAAGGTGAATGAGGCCTAAGCCTAACTGAAGCCTTAATTTTGACGCAAAGTACTTGCTTCCCAGGTTGATGAAACCCAGGGTCTCAAAACATCGAAAGCAAAGCATGGAACTCCCATTTCTATAGCAGTCAATCAGGTAACATAAAAAAATGAGCTGGCATTTAGGGTCTAGGGTAAAATGGAGAGTACTGACCACTCTCAGGGGGACAGCCATATTCAGCTCTAGAAGAATATCGCTTCACTTGGAAGAAGCCAGAAATCCAGACTTCCATGTGAAACAGACCAAGTCTTACAACAACTAAGTCAATTTCTAAAAAAAAAAGAAATACCCCATGGGCCAAATAACACATAGCCAGACAGTCAGATCTCAGGCTGCCTGCTGCCATCCCTGCCTTACTGGAAGGAGCTCTGTACTGTCTCTTCCTTTTGAAATGTTCACCAGTGGGTACGAGACATGGGCCTCTGAAAGACATCAGTCCCTGAGAGTTTCAATAGGAGCTCACGAGGAGTGGGGTTAGGTCTTCACTTCTTGATTGTTCTACAGTATATGCCCACCTAACAAGGGCTACTTCACTTCCCAAAGGCTGCTAATAAGTATAGATTTTTAAAGCATGATTGTTTTGTGGCTGAAATAACAACAGTCTCCAAAAACTCCTAACAACTTCCTCCAGAACTGCTATTATGGCAATCTGGAGAGAGGCTGATTCCGTAGTTCATGTAGCCTTGTTTTGTTTGGAAGGAAAGTCTGGCATTTTATAAAATGTGGAACACTTAGCAATAGAATGACTTTTCCATAGCACTGATTATTGTACAGCAAGACACATAACCATATGTCTTTGAATAGTGATTTTAAAAATTCCCTGCTAACTATACAAGGCCTGTGTTATAGTCTTGTACTTTTCCAAGTGCCCTCTAGTCTTTCCATATGAAGGTGATAATTTTCTACAGACACGCAAAAGCTCCACTGGTTATGGCCCAGTACTTAGTGAAAAGTTCAGCACAAATGGAGATCCAGTCTCAAATTCCAGCTCTGTCACTTCCTTACTAGCTGTGGGACCCTGGGTAAGTCATTTAATCTCCTGGAGCTTTTATCTCCCTGTCTATAAAATAGGGGTCATGACACCTCACAGGATTATTTGTTATATTAAATAACATAACCTATGTATGGGAGTAATTCAAGCCCGTAGTAGGTACAGTTCACTATCAATGTTGGTTGAATCTGAATACTCTTCTCCTGTCACAAAATAGCACTCCTATTTCTGACCATGGCATAACCCTCTGGCCATATCATTAACCTTCCTATTAAATTTGGCAGCTCTGTGGAAAACAAAAAGACAAAAGAAAGTTGTAATCATTTCATATAAACTTTTGGTTTTGTGTCCACTGGTATGAAAAGTAAAGGGTAGAGGGCTGGATGATGTCATCAAAGAATATGGAAGGGAGAAGGGAAGACTAACCCAGAAGCCTGGGGGCCCTGACATTTAAAGAACAGACAGAGAAAGAGAACTGGGTGTAGGGAGCTGAAGGGGAGCAACCAGGAGGCCAGGACAGCCAGGGAAAAGCTGTATGGATGCCACAGGAAGACAGTTTCCAGATGAAATGTGTGGTCAGCAGTGCTGTGGGTCATGCTAAGAAGTCATGGAAGGCTTGAAAAATGCCCACTGAGTTATCAATGAGGAAGCAAGAGTAATTTGAATGGAGCATTAAGAGGCCATAAACCACGTTTTAATGAGTTCAATCATATGTATAAGTTGAACATTTGATGATAACAAATTCAGACAACTCTATAAGAAGTTTGGCTATGAAGGACAGGAAAAAGGAAGATAAAAGATGGAGGTGAACCTGGAGACAAGGGTTTTCTTTAAGAAGGGAGAGACTTGATCACATTTGAATTTTGGTGGGAAGGAGCCAGTTGAGGAGAGGTTGACAATGAAGGAGGGAGAAGTTAAATAGAGTGAGAGAGAGAGAGAGAGTGAGAAGGAATGTGGGTGAAGCAAGAATTGGATATTAATGCAAAACCGAAGCTTAGTGAAAAGTTAACTCTCACAAGCATCCTCTGAACTAGCTGTCAGTGCCCCTCATGTTTAGACAGGGGGTGTTAGGGAAGGAGCTTAGAAAAGTAAGGAGGACTGAACTAACAAAAACACACTTGGAGATCCGTTGCTATCCAAAAAAGGACCTCTCAAAACCTTGTCTTGCAGCCACAAATGAACATTTTTGTTTTACTCTTACCTGTAGAGTAAAAGACTGTCTTACCTTTAGAGTTTTCTAGCAAACAAAGGATTCAGTCTGTTTTTGTTTGTTCTGACTAGTATTACTAAATAGCCAAATGCTTTCATCAGGATAATGAGGTGATGTATGATTAAATTTTGGTTGGAAAGGCCACTTGGGATCTTAGCAAATATAAGTTTTATTAGAGATACTTCTGTGTGTTGTAAAATTTGGATAAAATAGGTCCATGTAAGGGGATCCAAGTGTGATGGCCAGGGCTCACTTGATGGAGAACACCAAGTTTAGACACCAGTCATTGCACTTTTCCAAAACTCTATAGATCTCAGGCCAACTTCTGCCTGGGTTTCTGAAAAATGTTTCCTACTAGAAACACGTAAGTTCAAGCTAAATAAAGCCCAGGAAAACACTTCCTGGAACTGAGAAAGTCTCAAATAGTGATGGTTGTGTTGTTTTTCACCATTGACACTGGGTATCGGCCTTCTGATAGGACCCAGAAATGGCCTAGTCCAACTTTCTTTTTTTAATCAACCTTTTCCTTTCTCCAAATTATGAACCCACTAGCCATTCCCTCTAAAATTTCCGCTTGTTTCCTGCAAGATCTATTACAAGTCTGTACTCTCCAGGTAATGTGAGGAGTAGGCAAAGGACTTGAGTAGACATTTCTGCAAAGAGGATATACAAATGGCCAACAAGCTCATGAAAAGATGCTATGTATCATTAGTTGTTAGTGAAATGAAAATCAAAACCACAGTGAGATATGCCTACACACTTACTAGGATGGGTACGATTTTTTTTTTTTTAAACAAAGGAAGAGAACAATTGTAGAAGAGGATTTGGAGAAATTGGAACCTTTACACATTGCTGGCAGGAATATAAAGTGATTCTGTTGCTGAGGAAAACAGTTTTGGGTTCCTCAAAAAGTTAAATACAGAATTACCATATAAGCCAGCAATTCCATTCCTAGGCATATACCCAAAAGAATTGAAAACAGGAAATCAAACAAAAGATTGTACACAAATGATCATAGCCAAAAGGTCCGAACAACCCAAATATCCATCAATGGATAAATGGATAAATGAATAGTGGCATATCCACACAAAGGAACATTCAACCATAAAAAGCAATGAAGTACTGATACATACACAGTATGGATGAACCTTGAAAACATTACGCCAAGTAGGAAAAGCAAGACACAAAAGATAAGTATTGTGTGCTTCCACTTATATGAGGTACCTAGAACAAGCAAATTCATAGACAGGAAGTAGATTAGAAGTTACCTGGGGAGGGAAAAGGTGGGTAGAGGAAGAATATAGGGAGCTGTTGTTTAATGGGTACAGAGTTTCTCTTTGGAGTGATGGAAGACTTTTGGAAATAGTGGTGATAGTCGAACGGTATGAATGTAATTAATTTACTGAAACGTGTGCTTTAAAATAGTTAAAACTTTGTGATACAGATAACATTTTGCTACTAAACATTAAATATAAAATATACAATAATGTGTTATTAATCATTAACACAAAATTAATAAAAATATAAAATTAAGCAGATTTTAGTTATAATTTACCACAATAAAAAAAATAACCATTCAAAATGCACAACAGTTAAAATTATATTTAAGGAATCTAACAACCTTTATTTTTGTTGGCAGATGCCTTGTTGAAATAATGGTATACAATTAGATTTTATAACATGAAACTATCAATAATAAAATCAGTATTTTTGAAGAAAAAAGCATGATTAGAAAGTGACGCAAGCTTTCTTTCTGTGCTTCCTCCAGAAAATAAAGGCCTTTACACATGTGACAAGAAATAAAAGAGGAAAAATGGGGAGTTTTTGCTGTTCCAAAAAGTATGTAACTTACAGTTAATTGAATTGTGGTCAAATTGCATAGTTCACATCCCATGAAAAGAACGTCAGATAGTTTGTGTTTAGTCAAGTAAAGTTGGTTGAAACACCTAGAATATGATGAAATCTTGCCACATGTTGCTGGAAGCCCATTCTCCCCTTCTATTCCTTGGGTGTTGAGTTTCTCTCTTTAGGAGCTTCCAGGGTCATGCGGCTAATACAGGGCCTCACTGTCACTCCTTTTCAGCTCAAGCAGTCAGACAATTGCTCATGTGCAACCCTGATTGTTTTTCAGAGCATAGGAAACTTGGAAATATGACTGTGACCATCAAGAAGACTGTCCCCTCTCCCGAGGCCGTGCAGATTCTCTACCAGCGAATGAGATATGAGTACGAGTTCTACCACTACGTCAAAGAGCAGTTCCACCTTCTGAAGCGCAAGTTTGGATTGAAGTCCCGTGTCAGCAAGCCCCCTCTGAGACCCCAGTTCTTTATTCCCACACCACTGGAAACAGAGGAGCCCATTGATGATGAGGAACAAGATGACGAGAAGTGGCTAGAAGATATTTATAAGAGGTGATGCCAGCACCGTGTTACCTCCAATGGCTTTATCTCCGTTTTCCAGAAAGTTTTTATTTGGGGAAGAAAAATCCTTAAGGGACTAAATTAATGCTCAGCTGCATTAAAAAGAACAAAACATTCCCACATGTTGGGGTCGTTGGAAGATGCCCGGTTTTGCGGGTTTTCTTTAGTTTAATTCTGTGCTTTTCCTGGCTCCTTGGGTCCTGCCCAGGTGTACCAGATGGCTCCATCATAAGGCATCTCATCATAAAATAGCTTTTTCCCTCTAGTATAATGAGGGAAAGGGGAGAAATATAGCCCACAGACGAATAACTTATCATTTGTAAAATGACTTGTAAAAATATTACCTCAGTGGTAGGAAACATCCCAACTTGCATATTTCGGTAAAAATACAAATCACATCAGAGAGCAGGGAATCTATTCTAGAAGGATCTATGATGAAAAGATAAAACAGATAAGAATATCAAAAGGGAGGATGTCCCTGGATGAATGGTTTCTACCCAAATGGGTAGAATTCTGCCTCCAGTCTATTTCAGAGGGCACTTTGACTAAGAGCAACATACTTACCTCTGAAAGAGGGGGGGTTGCCACACCCCCAACCACCGCAGAGCCTTGAGTACTTTTTAAGGTCAAAGGGCATAGCAAGCTCCATTGTGATATTCCATTTCCAAGCACCTTCTGACAGATATCGAAGTAGCATAGCAGGGAAAAGAATTTGTTTGCTGTGTAAGGAAGAATTTAGGCAAGACAGACTCCACAACTCTGGAGGTCACGTGACATCAGGAAAATGGCATAGTCATGTTATTTGCCCCTAATATGAAACACCTCTCTCCCCAGAATTGCTTTAACTGGAAACTCAAGAGCCAATTCAGCTCTGGCATTTGGCTCCTGCAGCAGAGTTCTAAGCCTGCATACAGACAGTGCATAATCTGTCAGGCACATCGCTGGCCAAGTTGGGTCCTATAGTATCTGATATCTTTCACCTTCTAGTCCCTTAAGTGATAGCTGGTTTTGGTAAAAGAGGTACTGAGCTCTGTGCAGGCAGGAGTGATACAAACGTCGCATTTCCTAAGGGAACAGCTCACTCCTGAGAATACTTACTAGGACATCAAGAAGAGAAGAAGCAACAGCTTCTGGGTAAGAGACTGCATGGCTGGCTTTATGAGCAGTGCCTGCCCCTAGTGTGATTTCAGCAGGTGTTGGGCAGTTCCATTGTTCCAAAGTATCTCTTTGCCCCATCATCTCCCACCTACCCATGATGCCTTGGTTCTTTGGATTCTGAAATGTTTTAATCTTTAACTACCACCTCCCACCCCTGAAAATAAATACATCTATTCCTGGGTGGATAATATAGAGCTAGCTAAGCAAGGGTACAGGTTCTGGTGGCAGGCAGGATGTGTGACAAACTTTGTCTCCTTCATGGTTTTCCCCCTAGAGCCTGCCCTTCAAGAGCACTAGCAAAGTGTGAGTTGGGAATACTTCATAGTAAATAAGACTCTGACTTTACACAAGCTACACATTTTCTGCTTTTCAGAAAACAACAAGTCTCTCTAGAGTTTTTTCTTCGTTCACTAAAATTGGATGGTAGCCAAGACATAAAGCAAGTCATTTGGAACCTGTCGAGTGTGCACTAAAGCTACTTTATCATGAGATGTATTAAGAAGGCTCCACCCCGCAGGAGTCCATCGAAGGCTGGGACCACAGAGGTACAAAGTCCAGCATTTGGCCACTGGTGGGCCTCCTTTCTGCCTCAGAGAACTGGGGCAGGGAAGTGATTAAGGGAAATGTTCTTAGAAGAGGAAATATCCTTTGTCCTGTCTAGAGAAACCAGGGCCCTACCATTAGGTATACCTTAAAAAGCCACCCAGAAAACAGCTACCATATTCAAAACAAAGACAAGAATGGGTGCCTGGTACATTGTGAGTCATTTCTATGAAATTGTGTATAAGAATAATAATTAATATACACACTGCACAATCTCCCCGTCTGAAAATTAAGTTGAATTGCTTAAGTGTTCTCTGCTGTTTTCAGAGCATCAGGACAATTGATCATTTTTAAAACTGCATCTTAGTGGAAGTTCACATGAGCAGTTCTACCCACCTGTACAAAGGCATTTATTGTCAGCAATGATCATAGAAACGTCATAACAAAAATGCCAACTGATTCATTTTGCAGGGCCTAAATGTTTTTTTGTCCCAACAAATAGCTTCTAAGCCCTAATAGTCAAGGCACTTCATCAGTTTATTTGGCACACATGACAACATTTCTTTGGCCCTGAGCCCAACACAGTTTGTACGTCATGAAATATATTGTACATTTTACATAGTTTAATTTAAAAAATACATTTTAAGCTGGTTGATCTTTGACTGCCTTATTTATTATAACCTTTCAGCACATTCCAAGGTTTTAGTTACTCAGGAAGGAGTTAATTAAAATGATTTTATTTTGGTCTGATGGATGTTTTTTAAAAGGAAAATTATTATTATGAACCTTCAGCCTACTTTCCTTGAGTGCCGTAAAAATGCTTGTAAATCTTTTTTTTTTTTTTTAAGAAAAAAGAAAAAAATAGTGTTTGACATTGATGGAAATTCAAAAACATATATGGAACTGAAACATTAGCTTAGCTAAAATAAAAGCAATCTGTGTTTGAGATGAAGTGCTCCTTAACTTATTCATCACCCATGTAAATAAATGAATATAATAAATAACTTGAAATTTTTTTCCACTCTATTGATAGCTGGAAGTAAATGTGCCTATAATTCTAAACAGCCCCCTCAGCCTTCTTAATTGGCCAAGCTTTATTTCTCAACATGTGATTTTTGGAAAGATGTATTTTTTAAAATCTATAAGTTCTCATTCTTGTAATTAGATGACATCAAAAAACCTGGCTGGAACAAAATGAGCTACTCATTCGTTCATCTAGTTGTGCATATAAAACACTAAACAGCTAACTTCATTGCTTTGTCCACTGGTTAAAGTGGTGTCGGGATAATTCACTGAAATCATCAGCCTCTGCTGGTGGGTATCTACTCTGCATGTCCGCAGTTACGTAGGAAAGGAAGAATGTGCCACGTCACATCTCTTAGTAGGAACCCTGGTCTCTTTCTCAGACATGTACAGCCTCGAAAGCTGGATGATCCTTACCTCCCAAATGAGCAATTTTTATCCAGAAATGCTCTCCTTAAGAAATTTCACTGCTGCATCAAATGGAACTTACAGAGAGAGAGAGAGAGAGAGGGAGTTTCTAGATACTGGACACCACGTTCCAACTACATGTGACTATTTTGTAAAAGAAAACAATATGGATCTTGATTATGAAAGAAAATTCCCTTTTGGTAAAAACATGCTCTACTTCAAGTAAGAATCAGAGAGTCTTAAACAGCAAAGTGACAAGTGGTTACCTTTCTGTACTGTGGCATGTGTGCTGTAACCTGGGCCCGTGATGTTTGACTCTGAGCAGACTTTAAGCACAAAAGTACTCATCAAAACTTGAACTACGCCCCATCTGGAGTTGCTTCTTTAGTGTGACATTCCTTATAAATGCACTGTTGTTACCTACAAGTTTATCCAATGAGAATATCCAAATATGGCTTTAAATGAATTTTATAGATAATGGCGGTATTTTTAAAAAGAATGATGATCCATAACCATTTGAGAAATAGTTCTGTAGGTCAACATTATGAAATTCTCTTCAAGTAAAAATACAGAAGATTATTTTTACTAAAATGGCTTATTTCACATCTGATGAAAGAACTGATTTTTAAGTATTATGATTATCCTAGCCCCCCCCCCAAAAAAAGCCTATTTTAGGCTAAAACCAGTATTAAGAGTCTGTTAAGAAAAATAAATGAAACTTCTTCCACAGTTCAGAAAAGTCACTGCGGTGGAACCCAGTGCGATCGTTTGCTGAAGCTCTCACATCAGGGTCCCACGGGCTGAGTGGCTAAAGCGACACAAATTCATTTTCTCGCTCTTCTGGGGGGTGAGGTGAAGGTGTTGGCAGAGCGGTTTCTCCCAAGGCCTCTCTCCTTGGCTGGTGCGTGGCCATCTCCTCCCTGTGTCTTCACACAGTCTTCCCTCCATTTGTGCTCATGTCTGTGTCCACATTTCCTCTTTTCATATGGACGCCAGTCATCCTGGATGAGGGCCCACCCTACTGACCTCATTTTAATGTGTTTACCTCTGTAAAGACCCTGTCTCCAAATACAGTAGCATTCACATTCTGAGGTCCTGAGAGTTAAGACTTCAGCATATGAACTGTGTCTCCCCAGAAGTCATCCCGGAGCACCCAGCTCACAGCAGAAAAGTTAGAGCAGAGGATTAAACACCCCCTGGGGAAGTCGCAAGCTTAAGGTCCTTGACCCCTAGAGCTGCAATGGGGCTCAGCTGTCATCTGACCCATTCCTCCATTTCATGCATGAGTCACCAAAGGTCCAGACAGGACATGCAAATACATCACATGCTAACTTATTTTCTAGGAGTGTTTGATTAACTTTTGAGTATCAACCAAATTAAAACTTTAAAATGATGATATAGCCGAAGTCCATCTACGGACCTGGAATCCAGATGGGAGCTGATGAGCCACATTCAGCAACACCCAGGACCACTGGTCACACTGAAGCTGCCTCCCTCTGTGGCTCTCCCAGAAATGGGGGCTGTGGGACCCCCTTCTACAGAGGGGAGTTTTCAGTCATTGAAGTCCTGAGAGACAGATGTCAAAATAAATGTTTTATTTTAGACTTTTCTCTCTAGTCAAAGGATACAGGTTCCTGTTTCTGGATAAACAGACTGGGGCTATATTTGCCCATCACAGATCATAGAGTTTTATTTTTCTTAAACGCAAAATGGAGATTCATGTGCTACTTCCTGTAAGGAGTTTCAGGTGGACCTACCCTTAAACATAAAGTCACACGCAGCTCCTCAAAACTAGTTGAAGTTGAGTGCAGACATACCCCAGAAACCCAGACCTAGGGGATAACTGGGGCTCCCACCAGCCTCCTCGCTCCCTGTTTCTCTCACTCGAGAATTCCTTTCTGCGGAGGCAGGCTTGGCTCCCAGCTCCCAACACTGTGGATTCCCAAGGAACGGCCAGGCCCACAGATGTTCATGGGTCACAGAATTGTGAACTGACTACTTGTGCATTTTGGATTTCAATTCATAAACATGGGGATTCCCTTTTGAAAGAAAAGAAAGAAAAGGAAAGGAGGGGAAGAAAAATCACCATGCAAAGGAAAAGTGTGACCTAAGTTTTTCCTTTGGAATCTTGGCATTTGAGTTTAGCTATCTTCAGTCTGGCTTTCACCAGACACTGTAGGTTTGGAGCACGCACGGAGCGATCTGTCTTCCACGGCACTGCCAGAATGTTCAGACTTGACCTATAACACGCCTCTTAATTCCAGTCATGAGCAGAGACAGCCGGGAGGACGGGCCATGCCAAGACACAGCATGCTGGCTGCGTGTTGCAACTAGAGAAGCAGCTGAAACCAGGAAGCAGAGCTGTTGACTTACCAGGGCAAGGACTGTGCACCAGTGTAGTCCCTGAGTTCAAGTCCCAGCTGGTCTATTTCACTGGGCGCTTGAGTAAATCACTTGACCGCCCCCTGCCTGAGGTTAACCCGGCTGGGAGGCATTTGGAAGAAAATAGGAGGTCCACTGAAAACAAGAACTGCTTCTGGGAAGAACCTTGTCCCACCCTCCACCCCCATCTACTAAGAGACTAAGAGCCACAGTCCTTCTGGGGCTGGGGTTTCCTCCACAAAATGCTGTGTCTCCAGCAAGAAAGCATAGAATTACACATGATTCCAGGTCCACTGATGCCCCCAACCCCTCTTGTCTGCAAGTTTTGTTGACCAACATACCAATGAGTCCACGGAAAGCAGCACTTGTGAAATGTGAATGGAGCCAGTAGGAAGAGGCACGTTCTGCTGGACATGAGTCAGAATTCTTACCTACGCTGTCATCTGAGATAAACCACACTGTGGATCCCATTTTTCTCCAACACTCTCTCTGGGAGGAGTTTGTCTAGCTGTGAGTTAGAGGAATCCTCTTGAACGCACAGCTTCTGCTCAACACGGGCTTCCACCAACGTCTTTAAAGGACTCTGTGAATCTGTGATCCATTAATAATAAGGAGCCTAAACATCCATGTGAATCAGTCTAGGTTGTGCACAAGAAAGTTTTAATAAAAGTTGGAAACCTGGTAGGATGGGGTTCTGTGCTTCTTGGAGTCGTGTTTCATTCTGGATGTGGCGTCAGTGCCGTGACGTTGTGGGAGAAATCTGGTCATGATTTTGTGGGCTGGTGATGTGTCCAGCAGGACCAAGCCTTCCAACTCCACCATTATAGTCCTTAATATGTTGCCTTACTAATTTCACATGCAAGAGAGAGTTACGACATTGCCCACAAACTTCCTACGGCACACAAACATCCTATTTGCCGCCTGTATTGAATTTACTCTTTTCTTTCCTCCTTTGACACATGTTTCTGTTTGTTCTTCATCTCTGATTGAAATTCTTTAATAAAATTCTAATCCAATACCTATGCCCAAAGGATAATAGAGAAATCAGGTGTCTGAGATAGTCATGAAAAAAATATATGTGTTAAAAAATTTGGGAAATACTGCAGTGAAAATCTAGTGTCACACACTACATGGTATCTTGAGAGCATACTAAGGGCTTGGAATAGTATTGCAGTTTAAAAAAATCAGTTTATCTTTGCTGAACTCCATATTTTTCAAAACTATTTGTCATGAAACCCTAATTGAGTAAGACCCATTAGCAGCTGTACAACTAATGTCTAGAGATGACACTTTGAGAAACATTACTTTAGTAAGTCATTTTTTTCCCCATTGGAACAGTTCCTTTCCTTCTGTTATGGTTCAGTCTTTGGTCTTCCAAACGGTCCATGTGTCCTGCTTGAGGAAACAATACTTACAATGATTAACATTTTGATAAACAGAAGATGGGGTAATGACATTTTTAGTAAAATAATTAACAAGGCACCATCTTTCAGTTTTGCTTGTTCTCCCTAATTACATTCCCCTGCCTCATAAGAAAATAGAAACTCTTTCTAAAGTGGACTTTTGAAAATACTTTTTAATATTATTTTGGGTGCTTCAAATCAATTCACTACTTCCATGACAACTGGTGCTCACATCAAAATGGATAAAGGATGCCTGTCCCATTTCTTCGCTGAGCTGTGGTTGGTTGTGCAGTAGGAAGGCAGACAGTGGCAAAATAGAGATGTCATGTTGTCTGGTAAGGTGTTTGGTGATTAGAGATTGAATTCAGTTTTTGTGCACTGGGGTACTAGTGTTGCTCAGTACACTAGGGGGAGCCGGAGCCATTACAATTTACTCAAGAAATCCCAAGGTCTTTCCAAACCTGGTTTCTCATACCTGCTTATTTTCAATGCATTAGAGTATTACAGACCAGAAGGAAGTCATGATTAGTGTTATTTAAAACACAACAGACATACTGCCAATTGATCAATAATAAGTTATCTTTCCCAGGCTGTGTGGCCTACTTTTGTTTTGTTGCTAGTATTTTGAAATTAGTATAGTGTTTTTAAAATCAGCCTTTATCAGATCATCTTTCCTGGGTGTGTTGTATAATTACAATGTACTAGAAACTCTGGTTCAGTAATCAAGGAG